CTGCTGGCGCAAGCTAGATTCAAGTGATTATTACGTTTTGAATATGGATATTTTTCTTACAAAAATGCATCGATTCGCTACAGGAGGCCATTGTTCACCCCGTGTGAACCGTGTGAGACATTTTTTTTATGCATGGGCGCTTTTTATTTAACTTCTTTTGGACTGAAGCCATGCAACACCCACTGACTGCAATTATAGAGCTTGAAAGATCAAAGACAATTTTTTATATAACTCCGACTGGATTCATCTGAAAGAAGAAAGTCATATACACCTAGGATGCCTCGGGGTGAGTAAAACGCAGCCTAATTTTTATTTCTGAGTGAACTAACCCTTTAATCTAAAACTTTCGAAATTATGTTTTTCCAATCTTGAATGATTTTTATGAATGCAGTTTCTATAACCTCAAACTGAGAGACTATATTTGAAAATATTTGAGCACAACAAAAAAAGTTACAAAGCAGAACTACTTTGTCAAATTAAAGAAAAGTTCATGTGATCTGCCAGTGTCAACTATCCAATTATGCTGGCTACTAAAAAACCATCAGCACAATAAGCTGCTTTCACAGGTTACAAGTGCTACTAAAACAGATACTTTACACACTCTACCTGCAATAAAAATATTGAATATTTAACTACATTCATAAAAAATAAATACATACATAAATAAATAAACATTATTGCTACTCATTTCACCATTTTCAAAACCTGTATGTTTTTCCACAAAAGGAGATAACAGGCAGAATGACATCTCTTGTCTTGTCATTTGACTTTCACTGCATGGAAAAACAGTGAAAGTGAATGATGACTGATACTGTCAGGTCACTAACATTCTGCCAAACATGTCTTTTTCTATTGCTCAGAATAAAGTATATCATATAGGTTTGGAACAAAAGGAGAGTGAGTAAATTATGACAAAAAAATTCATTTTTGAATGAATTACACTTTTAACATGACTAATCATCTCTTTTTCAGCGGATTTTATATGAAATATATCTGTCCACGGCCGTGAACTGTCTAGCTAACGTTACAATAAGATAAACAAGTTATCTGTAAAATGCAAAACAGCTTAAGTAGAAAGTAAAGTGGAGGAAAACTAAGAGCAGGCGTATAACTAGCAAAAGAGTTAGCTGCAGAATATAAACTACAATCGACTTTAAAATATATTTGTGATAATTGCAAACTATTATTTAATATGCTCAGCCAAACGTTCTGGAGCATACAGGAGTTAAAAATACTAACAAACTGTAACAAACTTACTCGTCTTTCTACTTGCTGAAGGCTCGCTAGCACGGCACAGTTAGCATAGTAGGCCATTCAATGTGTGCAGAAACCTTTTAGTCCACGCTGAGTGATTAAATGTAAACTTTTAGAGCAAAGAAACTTTTAGGCATTATTAGATGGATACATAAGAGTGACTTATAACGACTCGGGCTTGTGTCGTGACGGAATGCGTGTTGTTTTAGCCACGGCGCGAGCTAGGCTAAGCTAGCATTCCGAATGAAACGTCTTTCCTGTTGGAAGTTATGTGAAGCAGTTGAAATTTACAATACAATATCAGGTCTCACAGAAACAGTAAATCCCTCTTTTGCAAAAAACACTATGATGTGTCATTCAGTCAATAATCACCCATACATATTTGAAAAATCTATTAATTTGTTAAAAATCAACAAAACAGTTGACCCTCCAAATCCAAAATCCGGATGCTCTTAAGTGAGCACTTCAGACCAGCGCATTATGCCAATGAATGATCCAGAGACGTGAACCTGCTTCATCAGACCCATATAAAGAAAATTTTGCAAACATTTAATATTCGTTTCTATTATGTAAATAAAATATGAATAAATTAATTTAAATTAAATTAATTACTTATTACTTAATTTAATTAATTAATGAACATAGCTATGATAATGACCAACAACATGGAATTGTTTTCTTCATATTACAGCTATAAATAAAACCTGCTGTGTAATGCTCATTCTGTGCTAGCATTCTTCTCTTGTTTTGACTTCCATTGTCCTTTGTTTTTTTTTCTGTTTCTGTATTTCGAAGACAATGATGCACCGCTTGTCAAGTCAATTTGACAGCTTGGAGCTTGTCGTATTTCTGATTCTGTATTTTGTTTGTGTTTTTTAATCACACTCGTTCCGACTTTGCCAATCCGTCTAGCTTGTTCCTGTCTACTTCTGCACAGACGAGCTAATCGATCGCAGAGCACAGCGCGCTCGCCGCGTCATAACATTCCCCGAGCTCAAGCCAGGATTTACTCACAAGAGGGCTTGACACGCACGGAAGAATGTGGACTTTTAAAGTTGTTTTCACTCTTTTTGCACTACTCGTGAAATATATTGAGTTTAAATCGCCACAAAATATTATTTGAACAACATGGCAGACTGTGTGTGCCCTCCGGTAATGCAAATTTGGCTCTGCTACCAGAAATCGAATGAAGGAATTTCACGCATTAGTAAACGTGAAGTAACGCAAAAATAACCAGATGTGTGTGTACAAACCCAATAGACTTTACGAAAAATGCGCACATATCTATGTGAACATAATGTGTGCAGACCATAGACTGTAAAAAAAAAATAAAAAATTAAAAAGCAAACGAATGAAACGTCTTTCCTGTTGGAAGTTATGTGAAGCAGTTGAAATTTACAATACAATATCAGGTCTCACAGAAACAGTAAATCCCTCTTTTGCAAAAAACACTATGATGTGTCATTCAGTCAATAATCACCCATACATATTTGAAAAATCTATTAATTTGTTAAAAATCAACAAAACAGTTGACCCTCCAAATCCAAAATCCGGATGCTCTTAAGTGAGCACTTCAGACCAGCGCATTATGCCAATGAATGATCCAGAGACGTGAACCTGCTTCATCAGACCCATATAAAGAAAATTTTGCAAACATTTAATATTCGTTTCTATTATATAAATAAAATATGAATAAATTAATTTAAATTAAATTAATTACTTATTACTTAATTTAATTAATTAATGAACATAGCTATGATAATGACCAACAACATGGAATTGTTTTCTTCATATTACAGCTATAAATAAAACCTGCTGTGTAATGCTCATTCTGTGCTAGCATTCTTCTCTTGTTTTGACTTCCATTGTCCTTTGTTTTTTTTTCTGTTTCTGTATTAATTTTTAGTCAGACCTGACCACAATTAATATTTGACATTTAACATTTTTAATACATTTTAAAGTATAGCTTTAAACTGCAGTTGTTTTTTTTCTACATTCCATTCCCATGAGATTCCATCCTATCCATAAACATCTACTGTAGCTTCTTTTTTTTTGATCAGTAATTACAGGCATTCTAAATTGTATATAATTTGATTTTAAATACATGACCCTGGACACTTCCGTAGGACTTTTATAAGAACTTTCGGGGCTTTTTCGTGCTATGATGTGTCTGGCTTCGCATTGCCACACGCGTTGTAATGACCTTCTGCTGACTAATAATAACTCATTTTATTTTTCGACATTATGATATGAAATCAAGGTATGTTTTCATAATTTCTTCGAATCTGTCTCTAACAGATAAGCACTGATTGTGCTGGGTGCACAGTTGGCATGTTAGCTTTTATCAAATGTAATTCAATTCAGCGGCTTAACTTTAAACGGATCTGATTCGATCAGACAGCACTGCAATGACTGTCCTCAAACAAAGGTTTAATAATGTTTTTTTTATGATTTGAATTGTAGGTAAAATGTTGAAAAGTATAATCGGACGTCACATCCTTCGTAACTTTGGGGTGAGTGAAACGTTTAACCCATAAGGTTTTGTTGCACTTTCTATTTTATTTGACCGTTTTCCCCCCTTATGAATAACAGTACTCTGTGTTACCTAATGGTAATAGACCTCCAACACATGATGCATTTTCTGTTGTTTATGGGAATTCTCATCAATAATTGTTTTAAAGGGGTCATATGATGCGATTTCAAGTTTTCCTTTCTCTTTGGAGTGTTACAAGCTGATTGTGCATAGATGAGATCCCTGAAGTTGCAAAGACTAAAGTCTCAAAACCAAAGAGATATTCTTTATCAAAGTTAAGACTCTGCCACGCCCCCCTAAAACGGCTCATTCTAACACGCCCCCACATATCTACATCACTATCTGGGAAGATTTGCATAACGCCGCCAAAATGTTCA